AAAATATTAAGGCTATTGAGTATAATGAGTGTATGTATTTGAAGGAGAGTTTCATTAACTGTACTCATTAAGGTTTAAAATGCGAAAATAAACATTTGACTAAACTCCCATCTGCTTAGAGTTTTATATTTTCGACATTTTATAGATATACAGAATATTTTTTGGTACAAAGTAAAAACAATAGTTTGATCAAATCAGATAATTTAATAAGATATCAAGTTAGAGAATCGTTTATAGAACGTACTGATGCTATAATCTTTAATTATTTGGATTATTCTCTGATTGAAGTTGATAAGAAACTTGATTTAAAGTTTAGCATACCTAATGAACTAAAGTTCGAATATTATTGATTTGTAGCAACTTTCTAAACAACTTCGTTGGTCAAAATCTGGAGAGTTTCTTACTAATATCAGAACTCAATAAGTGGAAAAGCCTTAACGTTTTTAATAACTATAGCTTAGATTACCAGATTGTAAATTTAAATGAATAAGAAGCGTCAGCATTAAAAATATTAGGAAAAATAATAACATCACTATGTCTAATTCTGAAAAGGTGAAAATATTGTTATTTTCGATAAAGTGGACTACTTGAGTAAAGTAGATAACATTTTGAATGACTCGATTAAAGCTTTTCAGTGTGATTAAGATTCTACTAATACTATTCAAATAAAACGGCATAATATTCACAAATTAGACCATAGTAGCTTTGAATGTGAAGTTTACTATAAAGATATATATAATGGCTTGGAGTTTAACATACCAAACTATACACCAAGTTTGCTCCAAGAAAATTTAATCAAAACGTTTTGATTCATTGTAGGTATAAAATTGCAAGCTCCTTTGAATTTTTGCATTACGAGTTTGATAATAACAAGAGATTCTTATAAATAATTGTATTCACATTCATTTCGTAGATGGAATAAATGTTTGACCAAACGAAACTTCATAAAACCACCAGTCCATGAAGTTTCTAAATGCTCACTTTTTATACTTTTATCGCATATTGGTAAATATGCTTTGTTTGTTAAAAATTAGCCCTATGCTCTCATTCATAACGTTTATTAACTCATATATTTAAAATGTTTTAAAGCATGTTCTTTGTAATATTGTTTTATAATATAAAAACAGAATTTTTCCACTGAAAACACCAAATGCCTATTATGAATTTACTTGTACTTGTAGCAAATAAAGTGATATTGAATCTACATATGTAAACTAGCATGCAAATTTAAGGACAGAGTAGTCTTATGTGAGTGTGACGTAATCGTACATGCATATCATTTTAAGATCTTAATTAAGGCCGATGGCGAATAAAGCCTCGGTGTAAAAAGGAGTTTGCTGATTCATAAAGCATTGGCCATAATTTAACCAGCTTATAAGTTGCTGCTCATTATGTGCTAATCCAATTTAGCATCTGTATAAATAACAATGCCCATAAATATATTCCAGTGTGATACTGTGTCAGTGAAAAATAATTACCTAAAGCAGTAGAGCCCACCGCTGATCCACAGAAACACCCAGAAATAAATTTTACTATAATATATTATCTCTATATCTTTTAAAAATTAATGTTTAGAATACATTTCATGTACTTTATGCATATAAGTCGTATAATTTAGTACAGGGACTTTATACTTCTAACGACCGATAAGCATTTATATAAGGGTATGATGGCGTGTGGAATGAAATACGTTGAAAACCACTGGACTGAAAATTACAAAATGCAATCTGGCAGGAAGTCTTCCTATGGTTTTTTGAGTATTGGAATAAAATGCAACAGAAATAATAGAGTATTATTAAATTACTAAGTTGTTCGGATTCACATTACTCGTAGATTGAGCATAAAGTAGAACAAGTCACACTAAATCAGAAATGTCTAAATGCAGTGTTAGTATTTTCAATACTTAATGTCATAGAACTACTTACATTAAGTTGTTTCTCCTTAACATGTAGGCACGAGGCACGTCATAATTTGGTAAATTTAGTCTTTCAGGAACTAACAAATATTTTCAACAACCTTTAAAATTCAAATAAGGAGTTTCCAAGAGAATGTTCCCATTAAGTTTGTTCTTTCATATTTAAACACACTTTAAACTTATGGTTTGCGTCTACGCCTAACATCTCTAATGTAAGGGAGTAATAACTACATGTTATGGCAATAAAATTCAACTTTAGATAGCGTCAGTTTGATTAATTCTAATTTCTAAGTCTGGCACTAAACGACGATACTGCTCCTAACACATTATCATTTAGCAAAAACACAATCAATATAATTAACTTAAATATGGGATGTATATGTTTCCGCAGTGTAATATGTTCATACTCAATGAAATGTGTGTTCAAAAGACATAACTCCTCCTCAACCTCTTCAATCTACATTTATGTTCTTGATTAATAATGCATTACTGGCAAATGTGTTTTAATCCCCCCCTTCCCCCAAGCATTATTAGTTTATTTCTTCATTTAGTGATTGTACTAGATGAAGCTATATACTATGTTTGATACGTGCATTAAAACGGTCATGATAATGTGTTAGTGTTATGAAATATTGTTAGTGTGTGGTTTCGTAACGTGACTCATCTTTACATGAGTCATAAACCAGAGACCAAGTATTTGTTTTTGCAAATTCAAAATTATCCCCACTCTTGACATAACTTTTCTGCAATATAAGCAAATGAAATGAAATTGTAGGAACTGACAGACTAATAACTTTTGTTTTTACTTCTAGAAGTAAAAAATTCGTTTAATAATAAATCATAATTAACATATACGTCACAATCGAAAGTCTGCACAGGCTATATGGGCTTAGTTTATTTTCCTCAGATGTATACAGGTGCCTAATCATGAAAAGAAGTGAAAAGGATTTTCTACGTTAACAAGCTAATGTGTAAAGTTTTTCTTATATATAATTCTCTTAAATACACAAGATTATTCAATATAATGTTATTATGAATATCTATACACCAAACTCGAACGCCGACCTGAATATCATTCTATCAAAAGTAATTCGTTTTGTGAGGCAATACATTTGGATATGACAGGCTGTTTTTGTAGCTATTGTTTATTTGTTTCAGACATTCCCGTAAAGTTATAAAAAGGCTATCTGCGCTAGACTTCCCTAGTTTCGAACTAATAAACTAAAGGAAAGTCAGCTAAATAGCAACATAACACTCAACTCTTGGGCTACTCTAACAAAAAATGGGATATAACTATAACTCATATAACGTACCCACAGCCTGAAAGTACAGAGCACGATTTTGGAGAAATAGGATGCGAACCATGGACACCCGGATTTACAGTGACATATGTTAATAACTGACCACTTTTATAGTTAAATTCGTCTTACAAAAGAACTAATTAACTCGATTCCTTATATTACTCACTTTGATCTTGTGGGTGGATAACGAAAAATAAATTTGCTTAATCTTCTTCAACCTTCAAAAATAATAGTGATACATTTTCTCAAGGAAAAAAAGAAGGTAATAAAATAAAAAAATAAAAGTTAGTGATAATCTGTATCACTTACATGAAAGTTCCTCTTCATGTGATGTTTTTTGTTCTTTTCCATGCTCATATAATCATTTCCAAGAATGACTAAACTTTAGTATCGCTTTATTGCATTTTTAGCCATGACATTTTCAGAAGGGCAGGATAATACTGTCTGTGATATTCAAGCAGGAGACAAAACGTTTTATGTCAGATTATGCTGCTCTTTAAAGCTTTTGTTACATTCTCCTCGATTCTGGAAACCCGAACTTGGACCCTTTCATTCAGTTGTTTTAGTACCTTATTGAAAAACAAACAAACAAGTAACAATCATGTAATCAAACTTAACAAACTGTGCTAAAATTTAATATCACGTAAATACAGAGAGCTGCTTATGGTCTATGGGAAAAATCTACAAACCCAATCACAATACCACTGGCCATCCCAATGGTCTTTGAATACAACGGTTAAATGCCTTAATTGGTGTTGAATTCAGTTAAAGAACAATTATGTAACCAAACGAAACAAACTGTGCTAAAATTTAATATCACGTAAATACAGAGAGCTGCTTATGATCTATGGGAAAAATCTACAAACCCAATCACAATACCACTGGCCATCCCAATGGCCTTTGAATACAACGGTTAAAAGCCTTGATTGGTGTTGAATTCAGTTAAAGTGTGGTTATTTGCAAGTGTAATTGTCGCCTGAAACTGAACTGTTTTGGGTGGGATACTTTCCGACGTGAAGTTCTCTTATTTTACGACTATAAAAGAACGCAAGGAATGAAATTTTAATATTTCATTGAAATGGACACCTGTAGTGTTGAATAGTATCGGTAAAACAAGACAAAGTATAATTGATACAGTAACTAAACAGATTACTCCAAGAACAATGGAAGTGAAGAAAATTGACTTTTACAGATAAAGTTCTTTGAATTATGGATAAAATAATTTACATGAACTTAGGGCTATAAAAGCAACACAAAAACATTGTTCTCATGCCCTCCCAGAGCATGTAGTCGAAAACTGTACGAGCTCTGTTTGCCGTTTTATTGCATTTTCGGCAGTGACGTATTTAGAAGATCATGTGAATACTGTCCGCGGTATTCACGCAGGAGAGAGAACATTTTATGTGAGATTTTAGAATTCTCTAAAGCTTTTGTTACATACTCGTTCATTCCAATTGTCAAAACAACAACAACAATGTAACAAATGTATGTATGTTGTCACATTGGAAAAAACTCATGTCTACTTAAGTGTGTACAAAATTTTGGGGTAACTGCGCTGCAAAGCAAAAGTCCATAACTAGGACCATGACATGTTATATCATTCGGTAGTGTTGGAAGAAGTTGTAAGGCCTAAACGCTTATCCTTGTATCATCATTATCATAGATCGTGAACATCTCTGTGTATTTTGCTTCATTGGAAAACATTACTGTTTTTAATTTTATTTCGTTAATTTTAAACATTTACTTGTACTTATTCCAGTAGATGTTTTTTTATCTATTTTCAGGTGTGTATCACAATGATTGCTGTCTCCTGGATTTTATCAACGTCAGTGTACTGCATGATGATTTACCCCTCTGGAGAATTCAAATTTGACTCCCAGGGGATCTTAGTGTGCGAGCCAAACTACACCAATACAAACATTATTATCCTAGCTACAGTGCTTTTCTACTTTCCTCCCCTGGTAGTCATATTGTATTGTTATTACACCATTTTTTCTGTAGCTCAAAAACAACTCAGATCTGTACAAGCTGCGCCCTGTTCCGTCTATAACGAACTTAATAGGTGTTCTACTGTTCAGAGGGTAAGTCTTCAATTATTAAAACAACAACAACTTAAAGGTGAGTCAGACACTAAGAATATTTTGTTATCTATAGCAAAAGAAGAATTCTCCGTTTGTCTGGTATCACAAGTTGATGTGAGCAATTTACTGAACCATTTCCAATGAAATCTGGTAAAATAATTCGGACAGACTCCTAAGATCGAATTTAAGTGGATAACCAATCAAACGAACGGTTTCAGTTTGGCAACTATTTCAATCTTACCACCTTAATAATGCGAATGAGGGTTTAACTCGCTGATGAGGTCGGTAGCAAAACACGTGAGGCCTACACAAGCGAAACTGACATTTATGTCGGGCATGGCAAGAGACCTTTGCATCAGACACGATTCATATTCTACGGTTCAGTTTTGTCACTACAGGCTCGGTCCAAAGGAACGACCTCGTAATCATTCTGAGCTTGTTATAGTTTTCATTCTGTAACTTTTAATGCAGTAAGTGTATCTTCACAAAATTTTGCATATTATCAGCAAACATTACAAGGCTTTCGTATACAAAATATCAGATATTTTTATTGAGTTTAAGATTTTTTAAATACTGTTTTTCTCTTGCATTTTTTTCTTTTCCAATGTTGACTATCCAACATGTAAAGTAATTTTGATTTTAAGATTAAAAATACTTTTATGCATCAGAAAAATTCCAAATTTCACAGAAGAAATCTTTATAACCTTCAAATAATTATTAAACGTTTTTTAAGGAAAACATATGTTTATACATTATTATTTACAAATACGTTCTTAAATTTCAGTTATTGTTCTTAAAACATAGAACAGTAAATAAACTATAAAGAAATATAGAAAGCAATTATCTCTTCTAGTTACAAACTTGGTACTCATCTGCTGCTTGCCGTAAGCTGCTAAGCCTTATCAAATTTCGCATGTGGAGTAAAACAATATATCTTTTTAGGTTTTATATATTGTTACCTATTAGAATTGCGAATGATCTGAACCCGAGCTAAATGATACTTTAAGTTTAGTAGTTAAGTAAAAGCCGATATATAGTCAGTTTATGATATTTGCCAACAAGATTGATACACACAGTTTTCTTTTTTAACACAAATACATTTTCATATGCTCACAACAATACAATTTACAATAACAGTTATTACAAATAGTTAATACACTCAATGATTTATATACAAAAGTTTCACAAACTTACAAGCAATATAAAGTCTTTTTTCTAGTCTGGAACTTCTTCGATATCTTATCCTTCGTTATTTATTAGCCACACACGCCGAGTTTTTCACGATGAATTTATATAATGTTTTCGTAAAAAATACTAATGTCCGATGAGAATCCACTGAAGCTAAATGATTTGTAATGTTCTAATTTTGTAAATGCTCCTGGTCAAATATCTGAAGTTTTCCGATTGATAAGCGTTATAACAATCACAGTTATAGCTTTCAAAGTTTTATAGCACACTAATAATATATACTCTTCCATACTTTTCCAATATGAATTCAATAGTCCTTATTTTCAAACTGTGGCTTAAAACATCACAACTCTATATATTTCGTCGAATTTCTACACGTTTTGCTAATGGAATAATATCATTTGGGAAAACGGATGTCTGTTCGTTAACTGCGTATAAATATAAAGAAAAAGAGAAAAATAAATTGCCAAAACTTTGATGTTTGATGTTTATTATTAAGCAAACATACCACCTTGCCACTGGGGTGGTAGTGGGGGCTGCAAAAAAACAATTATATGTATAGGTGTAAGGCCTACTGTGAGCGACTCCTATGTATGCACGTTGTTTTCTGTGTGTATGTGTTGTTGAAATTTAACAAAAATTTTTCTGGTGCAAAATTTTGAAATCATAATTTACACGCAATGTTCTAACATCAAAATGATTTTTTAAAGGTCAATTATTAGAATAGTGTTTCTGTCGTTTTATGCTAATAAAATATGTTACACTAGTAGAATGTGTCGAAATTTGACAAAGTTGTGGTATTTTACTTAATTCATAATCTTATTTAACCACACAAAATCGAATACTTGGCAACTAAGAAATGCTCCTTCTAAAAGTTATTTTAAAACTAAAAACCATCTCCGACAATGTTGATAATGTAAGCACTCACCCCACCTCCAAAAATATTACATGTTTATATTTTAAAGAAAACGCATTTGCATTAAACATGCTTGAACGTGTTTTGTTTTTATTTGAGCTTCGAATAGATTATCTTTGTAATTTTAAAAGTTATGTTTATAAATTCAATGTTTTCTCGAGTTCTTAGAATTCTGTTAACAAGTGCATAATCACGAATGATTAATTAAATCCTTTGAAGGAGAGTTGGGTATCAACATTGTCGGGGAGCATTTGTAAGTTTTAGAATAACCTTTAGAGAGAGCACACCTTAGTGGCCCAATATTCTATTTTATGTGTTAAAATAAGAATGTGAAATACCACAACTTTATATATTTTGTTGAATTTCGACACGTTCTTCTAGTATATATATGTAATAGCGGTATACAAACATATGTTACAAAAAATAAATAAAGATGTGCAAAGGAGTGATCACGAAAAATCATTAGTACCTTTATTCTTCAATAAATTAATAAAATCTACATCGAAGGAACTATTCACATATTCTACTAATGGGCTGATACACTAAGATCAAATAAAATATCATACAGGGTTCTTATACTCTATATGATTTCACGATACCCGATAATGTTGCATTCAAAATGTTGTTTGATTTTTCTACATCAGTAAAGTTAAAAATATATATCCTAAAGAAACTAATTGCGTGAATGTGTGTAACATGTATTTATAAAACAGTTTTAAGTTTAATAGAAAGAAACTGGGGAAAAAAAATTATTTTTTCTTTCATTTAAAGAGGTAGCATGTATTATTCATTCCGTTATTTTACACCTAAAGAGACGACACGTTTGTGTCGATCTGCGGGTTTTAGCCTTGAAAAGAAAGAGCTATTCTTAGAAACAACGCTAGTCTGGGTAACAGATTAAGTGATAAAATGGGTAATTTATCTTAACAGCGTAAACTAACCAGACAACTAGCGAGATTGAGAAACGCTCAGTCTGTAGGAACTTTTGCTTGTATCCTAAAATACCAAACAAACAAACAAAGGAACATGAATATACATTATACATTGATATTACTTATTTTCAACCAGAAGAAAAGTATCGTTAACTTTATCTACGTTCGTGATTTTGTTAATGAAAAGGGGGGATTACAGTATGTTATAAACAAAAATTACTTCTACTTCGTGACTTATTAATTGTATATAGACCTTCACTCGTCTGTTTTATTTTTTTTGATAAATCAATCTGTCAGTGATGTATCTTTAAAATGTTATTAATATGTATATTTAACACATATATACCAGTTATTTTACAAGGTTAAAAAGTCCGAGATATTTCAAAGACAAAACTACCTGAAAACACACTTCCATAGATGTTCAATAAGGACACATCGATCTAGCAACAGTAACCAATCTGCACCTTTACGGAGAATATACTTCTTGTGAAATGGTGCCTAGATTGATGGTATAGTATGATATATACAATTCAACACACACACACACGTCCGATGCAAGTGTTGGAAAAACACTACCACTGACAGAACCAGTTTAATCGAGAACACCTGAGATTGATGGCCTGTCTTTGATACACCGTTAAGATTTCTGATTAAAGTTTCGATGTATGAGGAAAGAGAAATAAGTGCTATTGAATTGAATTAATTCTGTTAAGCAACTTGGACAATACTCTATGTACATTCAAGTTACAGTATTGTAAACTGTAGTTTCAGTAAACAGTTGGCAAAAGACTGTAGTTATATATATTTTTCTAAAATAAATATTTTCATACGAACAAAAAGCTACTGAATAAGACCATTTTGCTATCTACATTCTAGGCAGGTAAGAAATCCTTAAAAAGTTAACTCTTGTAGCCCTGTTCTTTACATGTACACAAATGTTGCACATCAAATATGCTATCTACCATCATATAAGCTGGCTTGCAGCACGAGCTATATTTCCAGTGCTTAAAATCATGCAGGTGTTGAAGGGTGGAATAACCCAATATTTGAAGAGTGCTTTTCATCTCGATCAGCTATTGATAAGAAGAATAAAGGAATATTAAGTTTCTATGTGAACTGCAGTGGGGGAATGTGGTTACATGCATCAATGTATATTATCTTTGCCATGGATGAATGAATGTTTGGACACTCAAGAAGGCACCGATTGTTACAGTATCTTATACGTGGCTTTTAGTTATTGGCAAGTCGAACTGGACAAAAAGGTTAGACCTAAAGCTACTTCCAGCATTTATGAATCAAATACAATTAAAAAGGATAATACAACTGCCACTTTTGAGATGCTGGTGGAGCTTACACTGAAGAGGTTGCATTGAAAGAGGTGTCTTACTTCTATAAATAACATTTTGATTTTAGGTTAAATGTTATATGTTGCTTCTGATAACCTGGGAAAGGTATTTCAATGTATTAAGAATGTGGACTTAAGACTGAAACCAATGAAAGGTACATTAATGTTTCTGCAAGCGGAATTGTTCAGTCACATTGTACTTAGGAACAATATTCAGTGATCTTGTGGAAATCTTAATGGTCAAAGACTAGCCCCAACCAAGCAAGAAATATGCAGTTGTTTGGGTGTTGCATCATATTGTTGACTGTTTGTTGCCAATTTCTCAAAGACGGCTCCACTACTGTATACAATAACTAACACTGCTATGAACTTTAGGTGGACAGATGATTGTGAGCTGGCATTACAGTCTACAATGGATGTTTTGCGTTGACCTATTCTCTCTAAGGCTATCAATTCATCTTGTATACTGATGTCAGTGATAGTGGGACTGGAACTGTATAGGTTCAGGTATGGGGGGGGGGGGTATGGAGCATGGAATAACAGCTTCCAACTTCAATACTTTATGACAAAGAAGGAACTGCTTGCATTTTAAGTACTTTAAAGCATTATTTATACTACTTGCATAGTAGGAAGTTCATTGTTTAAATGAATTAGGCATAATTCAAATGGTTGAACTAGAGTATATCATTCAGGTCAGCAGCACAGAAATGCCTGCAGAATACCTTGCCAAACAGTAACAGTATGTCTGTCCATGAAATGCTCAGGTCCTGGGAATCATGCAAAGATCAAAGCCAAAGCGATTGCAGTGATTGCAAATAATTGGAATGGTGTTTCTACTCAGAAGGTTTGGGAAGAGTAATTGTGTAGTAAAGTGAAGCGTGATGTTATTTGCTGCCAATTACAATACTAGCATGCATAACATCTGAAACTTACATGATCAGGCACTAGTTAAGGGTGGTATGTTGTGAATGATTGGCCATAAAGATGTGGTAACCGACCTGTGATGAACCTAATGTTCTCCAGAGTGCTAAAGTGAAATATTCTTTAGACTTTAAATAATACATAAACTGAAGGATATCAACATATAAGCTGCACTGCTACGGATATGTGGACGTGTTTTTTTTTGTTTGTTTGTTTTTCTGGCTGCATTTGCATTAAGATCTTAAAAGATGATGTAGACATTGTACCAGATACCCTGCCCAAAGGGAGAAGCAGATGCATCAGAGAAAAACGTCATCAGAAAGTTTTAGGTTCTCTCTTGCAAGAGCCCTGGATAAAACTCTAGTCTTCTGGTCAAAACTGAGTAAAGTAATCACCATATATTGTTTTTTATTAATTTCTTTACCAGGTCGATTGAAGCTTGTTCATTGGCTGATACTTTCATACAGTCTGTTATGGAGATACTGAGTGAGCTGTGGCTAACACAGTTTATATAATCTGAAGATATTCACAGAAATCAAGGAATAAAACTTTAAAAACCAGTTGTTTGTATTGTGAGTAAACCATGATGAAAATTAACACTTCACTGTATTACATTTAATCTAACGACTGGGCAAAACAAATTTGAAAAAGTAAGAGCACAATTTATCAAGCACTTGACTTCAATATTGAAATGTTTATCTTTATCATGCCCTGATGGGTGCATAATATCTTAGGGAACGGGTGCACTATTGAATTAAATAAGTTATAGAAAATAAACTTAGTCTTTCTTCCACATATTAAAAGAAACAAGACACTTCAGAATCCAAATTTATTCAATACAAGTTTTATTATTGAATTTTATACACTATTTTTTATCACAAATTTAAATTGATCTTAGCACTCTCTGAACAAATTCATTAGTATTTGCGAATTTATGAAATGGAGTGTAATAAGGCACTCGTAGCCTCCTAGAAGAAAAGTCACAGTATCTTTACACAAAATAGCGCTGATATAACCTTCCAGTTTGAACAAGCGTAATTTCATTCTTAGCCAGCCACAGTTTCTCAACTTCGATTATCAAAATGAGATGTAATTGCCTGTATCTCAGGTTCGAGAAGATATAAGAAAGGGATCTAAACGCAATGAAGGCTCAGAACAAAATGATAAAAGATTAGTTTGGCGATATGTTTCTAAAAGAAAATATGTTTATGAACAATTTTACCTACAGTCTCAATAAAATATCTTCAGTACCAATTATAGTATTTTGACACTTGTGTATAAAGTTAAAATCATAAATAATAATCAA